ATATATATATATATATATGTATATATAAATATAATGACTAAATTCAATATTTAATTCGAAGGAACCTTACCGTTGTAACTGGGTCCTACGCTTGATCTGTAACTGAAACCATCGTCATCTTCCCACGGCCTGGCGTGATCTATATTTCTCGATGGCGCTACGCGAGAAACGTTTATGCAATTTAAATACGCGCGTACCGAACGACCGGAAGAGATTAAGGAGATAAAAAGCACGATAGCTTACAAGCGCCAACCGGACTCTCGTATCGCAATCTGTAAGTCGGTTCTCTGGCTGCGGATGGCGTCCTCGATGCGTTTCTAGGATCGACGTTCGCGGCCTTGTGTCTCAAGTTCTCTCGATCTTTTTCACGATCTTGCAGAAAGACCTTCGCTATCCCAGTGTCGATTTTGCTTAGCTCGTCCTGTTCTTTCTTCAGTTTCTCCTCTACTTCTTTTATGTACGTCTTGTTGTCCACCTCGTCCTCGTCATCCGATGCAGGTACTCCCTGAATCGGAATCATCAGACGAGAAAACACAGAAAAGTTAGAATCGCGGATTCAAATACGTGGGAGGGAAGATTACGAAAACGTTGTACGTAGTTCGCGGTGGTACCTTGTAAGTGTCGGACCATCGTCTACGTCTCTCAGGATCTGTGTACGGATAAGGCGGAGCAGGGAAATCGTCTCTCTCGATCGGCGGTTTGGCTCCAGGAGGAGGTTTCATGGCGTCCGGGTAATGCGCCAGCTCTATTGGCTCGTCATTATCTACTTGACTGGCCGGTGACTTCGGTCTGGTCTCACTGAGAGCATCGACCAGAGCACGCATTCCAGATCGGCTGCTGCGTCCGCCACTGCTTCTTATCGAACGTGACGCTGAAATAAAACGATGTCGCGTGATTAGTAACATGTATGCATACCACCCACGATCCTATTCGTACGCTTTACTAGACTTCGCGACCGATTGTAATTTTTCATTTTGGACAAATTCACTTTTGTTTCACTGTTTCACTCTAAAGAGGTAAAGAAACGTTGAATACTTACAGCTAGGTCTATGAAAGTGTGGGCTAGTCGGAGGTTTGTCGTACGGTTGTATCGGACGTCTCAAGTACCCTTGGCTCGGCGTTTCAGTCAAATACGAGTAAGTATAAATCCTAGATACATCTTCGGATGGACCGCGTCCGTACTCTCTCAATATCAGTCCAGGACTGCCAGTTCGCGCGGGGTAATACTGGGGCAATTAACGTATATTATCACGGCTAAACTCATGCTGTCTTTTTGATCGTAAAGCGTCTCTCTCATACAGCTATTCTTTTAGCTATTTACTCGGCAAAGGAAGATAAAAAAACTCAATGCGTTTTGACTGTCTCTCAAGAGAACCCGTAGCTAGGAATATACTAATTGTAAGTAAAGAGTCTTACACAATCAAGCAAGCTAGGCTTCGTCAAGGACTCGAGAATGGATTGACACAATGAACCATCTTGCAAGGTTTTCGCTAAAGTATCTTCATGGAAACTATCTAAGCACCGTTATATTCGAGATATTTCAGTATTATTTGAAAGAAGAAGAAGATTGTTTGAAGTCTTATGAAAATTATTCAAAATTGTCTGAAAGTTACAGGACGATCGTTCACGAGGGTGATTTATCGTATCAAAAATCGAAATATTTGATCCTGATCGTAGAGAGTAAAGAATTTCATTACAAGACGCTTCATCACCCGTCAGCGAACAAAATTTTGGAAACCTTAACGAGATTAACTGTCGCAGCGTGAAACCGTAGAGACAGTGTGAATGTTCCAATTGTATTTCTTGTAAATAATCGAAGGTGTCTCTTGAGAGTGTGCTTGTGCTAG